GATTCTCCAGCATCTGCAGTTCCTACTATCTCTGTATCAGTATGCAGCCCTGTTCTTTGCACTTGGTTCAATTGAACAAAGTAGGCTACACCCATCTTCTAGTACCTTGACAAAGAGTCAATCTGCCTGGTTTAAATTTAAATAAAGCTTGGCAGTCATCCAAAGTGCTTTCAACATCTTGATCTCATAATCATCTTCTTTGGCCTGGTAAATGATCTCTGAACCTAGATACAGAAAGGAATTCATTTAACTTAATATTGTATTTGAATGATCCACCAATTTTCTCTATGGTTTGTATGTAATGTGGTTTGGTTAATCAGTCTACACCTCATTGCCTAACCTTGCATACAAACAATAACTACTTAAACAAGATAATGAAAGGCACTAGTCCTCATTGAACCTTATTGCAGCAAGACCCACTGGTCTCAGGAGAAAGCTACCAAAGCAAACCAGAGTAAATATTTGCTTGTAATTGCCACTGAATTTCTGTTTAGTTTTTGTAGCCCTTGACGTCAGAATTCTCTGAAATTTTAACTTTTTTTTAAACAGTTATATTTACACGTTCAATCCAGATTCATTCATTCAGTAAGATATGGAAGCATGGCCCTTTTATCTCTTGGACATGTTCAAATATAGTCATGATTACAGATGTAGTTAAATATACAAGCTTACAAAATAAAATAGAAAAAAAGATCTGAGCATGCTGACTGCTTATCAATGGAAGGTTCCTGAACATTAGGGTCTTCCAACTAGCAAAGATATGTTTTCCAAAATCAGGATTATAAAGCCCTTTGTGGTATGCAAATTTAAAATGTCTCAACCTAAATATGTATATATTTGTTTGCAGTGCTTTGGATATATTTTCTACCCTGATTTCACTGGCAAATGCAAGCCTGCCTCCAAACAGACGCTATGATAGTTTGGATATAACAGAGGTGCTATTTGGCCAGTCAGACTATGGTCATCAGGTAATGTTCATTCTTTTAATATAATTCAAATAAAGAGTTTTTTAAAATATATGAGCACATCCATAACAACTTCAAAAGAAATTGATTATTTTTATTATCATTTCGCAGTATATAAATTGAGTACAGCTGAAAAAGAAAACTTATTGAGTCATTGTCTTGCCCGCATCAGAACAATTTGCAGCAATACCATTACGGGGGTAACACAAACTTATACTGTGGAGAGGAGAGTGCTGATTGGTTGGCAAGTGGACTCTCACTGGTAGAGGCATTGCCATGGAGAATGAAGCAGTTAATGATAATCGACAGTTAACTGCCAGGCTTTGTTTAGATATTAAACCAGGCATGTTGACTCTAGTCAGGGCATTGCACTGTGAAATGAACCAGCTGTCACCTATTTTGTTGAGTTGAAACAAGTGCAGTGCATGCACATGTTTCTGTCTGCAAACGTCAGAACCCTGTGTATTAATATACTCAGCTTTCAGTACATGCAAACGCACTATTCTTTGATCTCAGCTGACAGTCCTAAATTAGTTGTCAGCACAATTCATTTCACATGCAGCATTATCCAGCACTCGCAATTGCAGCATTACATTTAATATTAGACACTGCGTTTTCCAAGTGTGGGCAGATTGGGTGCAGTCTGTATTTTGCTTGTTGCGAACAGCCAAAGAGGTATGCTGTTTGATACAATCTGCCAGTCTTTGGATGCATGGCCTCCATGCCTGGCACCACACTGTCACTGAAATTCATGCACCACGTTATTCATTTGTGTGATAGAATGTCTTTTTGGCTTGACAACACCATCCTGTTAGTGGCAAGCACCGCTTGTGCTGCGACCGTACAGTAAAAGTGTGAAACAGCTAGCTTTACTTCTTGCACAAACTTTGGAGATGCTGTACCCTTTCACAGTGATACGACATAGACTGGGCACTTTTTCAGGACTAAGAGTGACCACCGTAGGCACTGTCATGAGTTTGTGTGATATGCATCAACAAATAGACTGATCAGGGTAGACATTATGTTGCAGGATGGCTGGGATGCAACCTATTTGTAACCCCAGATCTAGACTGTCCAACTAGGGGAAACATCTTAACCTGCATCTGCTCCTCTATCATGTAAGTATTTTGTAAGTTTCAGTGAGACCACCTATCATTCTTCAAAACTGCACAGAATGCAGGCCTAATTTGCCTCATCTCTCTTTATAAGACAGTCCCACCAGCCCAGGAACAAGTCTTGTGAACCTCGATAGCAACAATATCTTTCCTGTGATGAGAAGATCAAACCTGTAAACCACACTCCAGGGGCAGTTTAAGCAACCTTGAATACATTTGAAGCAAGATTTCACTATTCCTGTACTTAAATATTCATGCAATAAATGCTGACATTCCATTAGTGTTTCTAATAGCTTGCTGCACTTGTGTAATAGCCTTTAGTGACCTATTGTCAAGATCACCCAGGTCCTTTGCATACTTATATTTCAAACCTCTCTCCATTTAAGAAATAGTGTGCACATTAGTTTCTCCTACCAAAGTAGATTACCTCACATACATTTCCACATCTGCCATGTATTGCCCACTCTCTAAACCTGTCCAAATCCTCCAGAAACTGCTTTACGTCTTCTTCACAACACACATTACTGCTTAGCTTTATATTATCTGCACATGTGGAATCATTACATTTGGTCACCGTTGACATATATTGTGAACAGCTGAGGTTGAAGTATACATTCTACTAGTCACAGTCAGCCAATGTGACAATGACCCATTTATTTCTGTTCTCTGCTGGCCAATCCTTCATCCATGCCAATGCATCACCCTCTATCTCAAGTATTTTATTTTTCCTTCACAACTGCCTGCCGACTCTGCCCAGTTATTTTTATCCATGTTTATCACGACTTTTATGGTAGATTCAAGCATTTTCCTGGCTATTGACGTAGTCTGTAGTTTCCTGTTTTCTCTCTTGACCCTTTCTTACAGAGTGGAGAGACATTTAAAATCTTCCAATCTGCAGGAATCCTTCCAGAATCTATGGAATTTGGAAGATGATCAATGATATGTTGACTATCTCTATAGTGATCTCCTTCAACATCCTGGGATATAGAATATTAGGCCCCTTGGATTTATCAACATTCATTAATTTCTCCAGTACAACCTTCTTACTAATTTCCTCCAACTCCTCCTGAGAATAAAGAAAAACAGCCTTATCGCCTTGCCTCTGACTCCACTGATAATCCCTCACCGTGACTCCCACCCTGCGAGAAGGAAATAACAATACTTGCCCCTCGTCACTGGGTGTCCCAAGACGTAGGCCGCTACCTGTGGCATTTAAGCCCCAGAAAGTGCTTGCTTTTCATTGATTGGCTGCTTTTGTCCACCCAGGTCACCAGTGTCAAGACCTGCGATGGAACAATCCACTCTCCCTGACTTGCCTGTCAGCTCTTAATAAGCTGATTAGCAGGCAGTTGGGTGAGTTATTGCGCCAGTGAATTGACATATTAGTCATCATCTCACATGCTTACCACCACACTTCAATAAATTATGGCAAAATTCAGCCAAAGAGTTCTACTGTTATATTCAGAGATAAGAGATTTTCACCATTTGGTAGAATTCTGTCCTTTTAACTTTATTTCTGCCCTCCAACAGGCGTCGATGTGCTGTTCTTCATTTCTCTTTTGAACCTGCCATCAACCAGACTGACTGTGATTGGGAGCAGCAGATGCTTTGGGGTTGGAGGCAGTCGGTGGGGGACACTGGGATTGGGAAGAATGGAAACCAGGGCACAGTGTCGAACATGGTCTGGTCCAAAGGCCAATCAAGATAGTCTTAGGGCTGTTTGCTTCTTCTGGGAAAGAATGCCTGAACCATCCCCACCCATCACCACCATTTTACATCTGATATAGCTTGTCCTCACTTTGAACAACTTCTCCTTTAACTCCTCCACTTTCTTAGGTCAAAGCTGTGGCATGGGTACGTGCATGGGGCCCAGTTATGCCTGTCTCTTTGTGACGTTCATGGAATGTTCCTCATTCCAATCTTACTCGGAACCCTCCCCACAACTCTTTCTCTGATACTTTGATGATACTGTTGGCAGCTTTCCTTTCTCAGGAATTGGAAAAATTTATCAACTTTGCTTCTAATTTCCACCCTGCTGTCACCTTCACCTGATCCATCTCTGACTCCTTAGCTCCAGAACTCATTACAGCCTTGGTACAAAGACAGGCAAAAGAGCTGAACTCAAAAGAGCTGAAATAACTTGAGAGTGACTGCATCAAGGCAGCATTTGAGTGAGTGATGTATCAAGGAGCCAAGGCAAAATTAGAATCAATGGGGAGCTGTCCAAGAATAATTACCTCCTTAAAAATAAGTGCATATGCCACTGACAGAAGACACTTACAGCTTGTGCTACAGAATAATTTGTTTGCACACAAATATGTTTCTTTTTGTTTCTGGTTTATTTTCTTTGTATGTACTTTAATTCCCAACAGCCATCTTTGTCTCTCACTAGATTGCACAGACACTTATGTTCAGAAGTCAGATAGTTGTGGAAAAATAAGCATTTATTCAACAACAGTGTTTTTTTATGGAGACCATTTTGGATACTGCCAGTTATCAGATTAATAAGGCTGTATGGAAAACAGGCATTTCTCAGAAGACCGAAAGTCAGACTTTTCATACTTGACGTAATTTCTGCATTTAGCAGATTTCTTTTATATAAACTAAAGTATTTAATCTTTGTTTCCATTCCTAAACTCAGGTTTACTCATATTTATTTTACACTGATTCAGGAATGAAAATGCAGCTATTCGAAACACCAGAACACATTACAAAATAAAAATGTTGATGATTTTATTGTGAAGTTTCACATATGGACAATTGCTACAAATAGGCAGAGTTTACATCAAAACATCTTGAAGTGTTTTCTAAAATAACATCCTTGTTTTCTGTCATGCAGTGAACAGTTTTGTGACTTGAAAATGGTAAGGACTAAGTGTTTAGTCTTCATGGATAACAAAGTGGTCATAAAAGAATAAAAGAAATGAGTGATTATGATTAAAGGAGACAATGCAGTCATGGAAAGAGAGGATGTCCTTGTGGGTGCAAGGACAGAGTGAAAAATTAACTCGGATCAATTTAGTTAGACTTGGAATTGAATTAGATTTGAATAATGCGATTAAAAGCCCTTCTACCTTCTCACTACAACATGGATTTGTAAAAGGCAGATTTTGTTTGACTGATCTACCTGAATATTTTATGAAGTTACAATTGAGTTTGATGAAGAGAGTGAAGTGGCTGTTGTTTGTTTAGATTATTAGAAAGAATTTGACCAAGTTCCACTGGAAATGGTGGTGAATAAACTTGAGGATGATGGAATAGGTGGGTCAGTATCAGCTTGGATTAAAAAATTGGCTTAAGGAAAGAAAAAAGCAAGCCAAATAGTTATTTTCCGAACAGGAAAAAGGTGGAGTTAGGACTTTTGATCAGTGCTAGGATCACTGTCGTTTTTGGTATAGAATGAAAGAGGGATTGAGTGGGTCATTGTACACAGATGTTTGAAGGTGAAGTAGTTTGAAAAAAGTATGAGAGCTTGGGTAGGGATGTTAGGCAGAAACTTTATAAAATCCTGATTAACCCGTAACTAGAATATTGCATCTAATTCCATGCATTAGGAAAGGTGTGAGGGGTCTTGAGAGAGTGCAAGGCCGATTTGCCAGAATAGTTCATGGAATTAGGGATTCTGGCTACAAAAAGAGGTTGGATTTAGTGATGTTGTTTTCCTTGAGGAAAGAATGTTTGAAAGAGATGCATGGATTATGACAGATCTAAATAATTCTGACAAAGAAAAGCTATTCCCATTAGCTGATGGTACAAGGACTAAGAAACACAGATTTAAAGCTGTGGGCTAGACATACAGGAGCCAGTGAACAGGAACAATTTACACAGTGTATAGTGATAACCTGGATACACTGCCTTTGAGAGTGGTGAGGTGGAGGTAATCAATGA